GTATGATGGGACTTATTTAATTATATATATATATATACACACACACACATACTGTACACACACTACAGCTTCACTATTTGGCAGAGGCATACAACCATGAGGCCAAACCGCTGTATATACTGTGGCCATGTACAGTGTTTCTCTGTATGGTCAACTTCATTGTGAATTGTTTGTTTTTTTAAGGCAGAACTTAATTCAGAAATGCTGCAGATCTTGCTCTTCAATTGTCTCCAGTCATGCTTTAGGACTAGCATACAAAGAAATTGATCATCTGTTAGGATGAGTTTAAAAAGTATTATTTTCTTAATCTAATTTCCTTCTCTTTACTTTTAATTCCTTCATTGCACTTTGTAAATCCTGCTGCAGTCATTGTCACAGTGAAAACATATTTTGTTTTCTAAATCAACTTCATCTTTTCTGCTGCCATAATTCGGATTCCATTCAGCTGACTCACTGTTTTCTCTCTCTTCAAGGTTTGATCTGATGAAAAGGAGGATGAGTAAATATGAAACACAATAGCCTTCTTATCTGAAGGATAGTTATTTACAAATCCAAACTGTGCAGCATATTTTCTAGTTTTCTAGCCTCATGGAATTTCACCTAGAAAACACAATGAATATTATATGGCTGCAATAAATAGTCCCAGAATTTAGCAGTTATTTCTGGCAGGGCCAACAGACCATGCAAGCAGAAAACTCACATTGTTCTCTAGATTGTACCATAGTAAGTTGTTTTGTACAAGGTTTAATTCCAAACAAATTAAAGGCACCATAATGGAAAGTGATTTTCACCCTGCTGTGTGATTCCTGTCACATTTGTCTGGTCCCCTGTATGAAAACACAGTCTCTATCCTCAGGCTTTAGATGTTTGGAATTAGAATTTTGTAATTGAAGAATTAATGGAGTAAATAATCAAGCAATTACTTAGTAGTTACAGTAATAGCCAGTTCATTCTTAAGTGAAAAGCTTTCTGTTGCAGATTAGGCCCTGTGTTGAACATACTGTAAAGACATAAAATATACAGCAATCTCACCACAGCATTCATGTTGCTGAATTATTATTTATTTATGTCAAAAAAATCAGCTGTCATGCTAGTTCTATTACACAGCAAAAATAGTTTAAAAGGCAGTTTCGAAACAATGCACTATATGGTACTCTATAAAACTTATTTGTGTAACAGAGTTCTCTTCATGACATACTGGATCACTTTCTTTAGCTCTTTGTTTGTAGCTTTAAAAACACATATTGAAAGTAGATCAGTGATTAACACTGACATTCCACTGCAGGATGTAACTCTAACACTCTCAGTGTGGACCTCATGTACTGTATTTTTTCTTCATGTTCACATTGATTTTTTGACTGTACTCCAGTTTCCTCCTACATTCAAAAACATTCAGGTCAGGTAGATTAGGGACTCTATAAATGTTTCTCTTTATCTGTGTTAGCTCTGTGACTCACTTCCGACCTGCCTAGAGTGTTTCCCTGCCTTTCTCTTAGCAAGGAAAAAAAAATCCATCTTTCTGTGACCATGCTGCGGAATATCATGCAAGAAAGAATTACATATGGTAAAAATAAAATTGTTGAGATTGTCAGTGCACTAGTGATGATGTATCCATCTCAGCATTCACAAACCTCAATAATTACTGTACTGTACATAGTGATAGTGAGCACTGCAGCTATAATTAATAAACAATCAATTGGTAAAGTCACGCTGGTGTGTCATTACTTAAAACCAAAGCTGGTGTAATTACCATGTCAGCAGTCTAACAGCTTACCTCTTCATAGATCTATATTTCCACAGGAGGGGTGTTTATTGACAGTTAATGCCTGAAACCTGCTGTAACTTTATTCGAGAAACTAATTCTTCTCAGTTGTCTCTATATGACTCAGAACCAATAAAGCTATCTGTTGTGAATTAAAATCAATCTGAAGTGTCATCTCAGGTCAATGGTGTTTAGTAATTGAGATTTATGACTAATCTGTCTTTATGAATTCAGTCACGGTATCAGGGTCATTCTACAGTATGTATGTGTATATTATGTGTTCATATCACTTTTAATACTCACAATCGGAACTACAGTTTATGGCTTTTATTTCATAATATTTCAGAGGTTTCAGTTTTATAAGTTGCATTATTTATTTGCTGTCTTGAGTTATTTTTCTTGCTCTTCATTTATACTGAATGATTGGAACCTTTTTTAATCCATTATTCACTCTGCAACCATGACAACATGAACAACTTTGAGGAATTTTGGTAATCCCTAGAGTATCATCTCCCTTAATCAAAGAAAACATGGTTTCTATGTCTACTGTTTTCTCTGGCGTGAAACATAAAGAGCTACACAAACAAATTCCCTGGTCCCATTTTGCCGCGCTTCTTTGACATTCCAGTTGCATTCGTGCCTTTGAGGAACTGTGAGTTGTAATCAGACGTTTCCAGATATCTCGGCTCGATTGAAGGACTGGTGGGTGGTGAGCTTCCTTATTATTTATGTCCCCCCAGTCTCAAACATAAATCACACAACACGGCAGTCATAGCTGCTTTTCTTCCCTCCCTTCCTCCTCCGGCAGAGAGGCAGCACAGAAGTTGGCAGCTTCATTGTGATTTTGTTTTATGTGACTGAGATTGAGAGTGTGAGGACAGTGCACCCAGAAACAGAAATGGATATGAGGCACTCCATCAGTGGTGCAAGTTTGATAGTGCCTGCAGATACACAAACTTTAAGAATATCATTTAATGAATATCTTAAAAGCTTACTTTTTGGAATTATAATTTATGTTTTCATTTTTTCCCCAGAGTATTTCAGTGGTGATGTTTAGAATCTCACATATGCATTAGACTCACACATTCAATTATCTAATGTATTTCTTCTCTCCTCTGTCTGCCATTTTGTTCCAGTGGGCCCAAATCTTCATTCCAAAGAGTGGAAGACCAGTCAATGAATTATGAATGTTAAACAAGATGACCTCCTCTCAGCAGCAGCAGATGATGCGAGGTCCTAGGTGGAACCGGGCCTTGTCCGACCCTTTGTTTGTGCTGCTTCTGGCCCTCCAGCTGCTGGTGGTGGCAGGGCTGGTACGTGCTCAGACGTGCCCCTCTGTCTGCTCCTGTAGTAACCAGTTTAGCAAAGTCATCTGCACCCGTCGAGGCTTGCGGGAAGTCCCTGATGGCATCTCTACCAACACGCGCTACCTGAATCTGCAAGAAAATCTCATTCAGGTCATAAAAGTGGACAGCTTCAAGCACCTAAGACATCTGGAAATCCTGCAGCTAAGCAAAAACCACATACGCAAAATCGAGTTGGGTGCCTTCAATGGACTGGCCAGCCTCAATACCTTGGAGCTTTTTGATAACCGCCTCACCACTATACCAAACGGGGCATTTGACTACCTGTCCAAACTAAAGGAGCTTTGGCTGAGGAATAATCCCATAGAGAGTATTCCCTCCTATGCTTTCAACAGAGTGCCCTCATTACGGCGGTTGGACCTTGGGGAGCTCAAACGGCTCTCCTACATATCTGAGGGGGCCTTTGAAGGGCTGAGCAACCTGCGATACTTAAATCTGGGAATGTGCAATCTGAAGGAAATTCCCAACCTTATTCCTCTGGTGAAGCTGGATGAACTGGAGATGTCGGGCAACCACCTATCTGTAATCCGGCCTGGTTCTTTTAAAGGGCTCATCCATTTGCAAAAGCTATGGATGATGCATGCCCAGATCCAGACCATAGAAAGGAACTCTTTTGATGACCTGCAGTCACTAGTGGAGCTTAATTTAGCCCACAACAACCTTACCCTCTTGCCCCATGATCTCTTCACTCCTTTACATCACCTGGAGAGGGTGCACTTACACCACAACCCATGGAATTGTAACTGTGACATCCTTTGGCTAAGCTGGTGGCTTAAGGAGATGGTACCAGCAAACACCAGCTGCTGTGCCCGCTGTAGTTCACCTCTCCACCATAAAGGACGATACATTGGCGAGCTGGATCAGAACTACTTTCACTGTTATGCTCCTGTTATTGTGGAGCCTCCTGCAGACTTAAATGTGACAGAGGGAAGTGCTGCAGAGTTGAAATGCAGAGCCAACTCATTGACCTCGGTAAGCTGGATTACACCCAATGGATCCATCATGACACACGGTGCATACAAGGTCCGAATCTCTGTGCTGAATGATGGCACTCTGAACTTCACCAATGTTACAATGCAGGACACAGGCACATATACATGTATGGTCAGTAATTCTGCAGGTAACACAACAGCATCTGCCACGCTCAATGTGTCCTCTACAGAGAACAGCAGCTTCAGCTACTTCACCACAGTGACAGTGGAGACCATAGAAACACCACATAGTGAAAGCTTCACCACTATTGGGCCGCTATTGGGCCCCACCCCCTCTGCTAATACATGGGAGTCTGTTTCCCCCACCTCTACAACTACCACCACAGTCCGAACACCAATCTCCACCCGCGCCACAGAGAAGACTTACACAATCCCTGTCACGGAGCTGGGTGGTGAGAGCTCACTGAACGGCTTGGATGAGGTGATGAAGACGACCAAGATCATCATTGGCTGCTTTGTTGCAATCACACTCATGGCAGCTGTCATGCTGATCATTTTCTACAAGATGCGCAAACAACACCACCAGCAGAACCACCATGCACCCACACGCACCATTGAGATCATCAATGTGGACGAGGACTGTGTGACAGGAGGCCCGGGCATGGAGGGCCACCTGACTCTGCCTCCTCTTGAGCATGAGCACCTCAACCACTATAACACCTATAAGACTGCATACAACCATGCCTCTACTATGAACTCCATACACAGCTCAGTGCACGAACCTTTGTTAATCCGGGCCAGCTCAAAAGACAATGTACAAGAGACCCAAATCTAAGACTTTTTTTTGCAAAATAACACATTACAAAACTGATGGAATTACATAAAGACATGACTGAGTGGACATTACTGACAACTGGTTGTGAGAATTGTGACTAAACATGGAGGAACAGACTCCTGTCTGGCAAATCAGTGTCAGGTGATGTTTATTCATTGACTTTGGGAATTAGGGTATGTCTACTGTTTCAAAAAGTGTCTTTACAAAACAGAAGTTATTTATTTAAAAAAAAAACTATTGTGGTTAAATCAAGAAAAAACTGTATTCTGCAATTATTTTTCCAGCCATTGATTCATGTGTATTTGTTCTTTCTTCTTTTTTTCTTATTCACATTTCATGAGATTGTTTTACTAATATGCTTTCAAATTCACTATGAAGACATTTGTAGTGGAAGCAAATTACCGTTTTGTTTGTTTATTTGTTTGTTTGTAGACTTATTAAGATGGTAGTAACCTCAATTAACCTCATTTTGCCCATATGTCAAGGAATGTAGAGCACATTAGTGTTTTTCTCCAGCTGTGGATTAAGTGAAAAAGTCTTTTGTAACCATCTGTAACTGAGATGAATTAAACACTTGTTCATTATTTTACAGTGGCTGACAGAACTGTCAGAGATAAAAAGTTGATCATAATTTACTGTTTTATTATCTGTCACATACATTACATACACATTTGGCACTCTCTGCTCTGTTATCAGTAGACTGGGGATCCTAAATGAGGGAAATACTGTATGTCCTGCATTCTGCTATTGTCAAGTCAAGACTCACTATAAGTTGTTTTAGTTAAATTGAATTTTCTTGATTAATTATGAAAGAAACTTACATTTGCTTTTGTCTTGCTAATGCAAATATAATTTCATCCCTGATCTGCACATATTTCAAATCAAGTTCCCAATTTTTTGTTATCGTTAAGATAAATTAATTAATTGCATTGAGACTCTTTTGATCTCTGAAGGTTATGATACAGCAGGACTATTAATGGGTTCTCTAGAATCAGCATAGTTATGACTGGACAAAACAAAGAAAGATGAAAAGACCACAAATCAGGGGAAAAATGTTGATCATAAATTCTGTATTTAAAAAAAAAAATCTATGCTTTCAAATGTTTCTAATGTATCATGGTCTCACCTTTACCTGACTCTGCTTTGTACTGATTTCTTTGAAGCCATTTTTTTTTCATGCTATGACGCTTTATTTCATCTGCGGTACTGAAGGACGAAGTACCGACACAAGCAGACTGATGATCTGAAGGAGGAGCATAAAACCTTTATACAGCTGTCGGAGCACATTGCTTGTCATCCATGTGCTACATTTCCACATGGGCAGTACCTGGCAGTCCCAGATTCACATCCTGCCCCTGCCAACCACAAGACCTGGCTGGCCCACAGCAGCAGGGTTTATGCTGCAAGAGGCTTTAGAGGTGAATGTGTGTGATCAGGCATCAACCAGATGTTTGGGTTGCACCTGCCTTTCTCATTTAGTGACAAAACAATTTCCATTTTGTCTGATGTGCCCGTGGCCCTTGGATGGACACAGCTCTGCAGGCATCCATACCCTGGAAACCATTTCAAGTACTCATTACAAAAAATGGTGCCAGGCACCAGAAATGCAGAGGTTAGTTAAATATTTGTCAGACACACCCGGTTCATTTGTAGCAAAAAGTGCAGTTTTTGCTCCGCTAACAGGGAAGTATAGAATGGTCAGCTCGCTGTCCTGCTTAAATCTGTTTTGCCTTTACATTATATTCAGGTATTACGGTAAAGGATTAATACAGAGGAGAATGGCTCACAAAAAGCTAATGTTGAAAATAGTGCCATGCATTTTCTATGGAGTCATCATGCATACTATTAACCTGAAAGCTGGAAGTACCCAAAATCCACAGCAAGCTGGGAGTTTCAGGCAGCAGAAATAAAGTATAATCACCTCCACCTAAACTTCAAAAATCACCTCTGCTGTCTATCTGTATGTTAAGTTAGTTTCACACACACAAAATATGGCTAAAAACAACAGTTCCATCGAAATTCCCATGCACAACACTGTCATGCTTTTGAGCTGTTATGTTTGTAGGTGAGTGCATATTACAGAGCTCTCCTCATGCTCTTCCATTGCTCAAAACCATTCTGAAATTGAGATTAAAAACAAATTTCCAAAATGTAATCAGGTAGACAAACAATTTACAACCACCTTTAAAGCCTACATGGAGTGAGTGCTTTCCTATCATATAGACACATTAAAGCCACTCTTTCGCATAGCTTTCAGTATATTTCAAGAATAGTAAAAATGAGGTACAATACTAATTCTTCCCAGTAATCCATGTCCAGGATTTGAAATCTGATCAAATTGAAAAACAAGTTAATAATCTAAGGCTGTATTCACCAGTTTCACCAGGGGTTCTCCTGTGACATGGAATTGCATAGATGATATATAATAATAAGTAATCCATGTCTTGTTATCTTTCAAATAAACATTCAGCAGTATATTTCCTTTAATATTTGCTTAATACAGAGGCAATTTGATAATATTGGCCTTGTGTACATTGCAATTTTAATTATTTATTGACTTATTTTTCTATAACATTTTCTTCCTCTCACAGGTTAAGAATTGTGGAGGCTGCTGTGGAAATTCCCATACCCTTTGGGGTGTAAATGCAAGCATCTATTTTGCGTGGCGATCCATGTATTTTTCAAGTTTAAGGGTAGATTCCTAAAGAACACAGGGTGATTTGAATGCAGACCAGATTGATAAGTCATTCCACCATATTATGGTTTTTCACCACCAGTACACTATTCCCATAATTGCACTACTGTGGAGGCATATTTGTATGCATAGGCATAGAATGACCTGGTATGTGGGATTTACTCTATTTAGGTTCATAGCAGTAGGATGTGGATCACAAGGGAGTGTAAGCATCTTTCCTTTTAGCCTTTAGTTTGAGGTTCATTGTCTGAAAATTTAAATGGTAAATTTGTTGCATTTTATTGAAGCTGTCTCATGTACGTATGTAAGATATCTAAATCCTTTCGGTCAATATTCTTTTGTTTCCACATTCTTTTATTTTATTTTATTTTTTTTTGCTGAGAGGGAATGCTGTTCTAGTGGTAGATTTATATAAAAATACATTTTGAGGGAAAAAAACAAAAAAAAATTTAAATTTTGATTTTACATGTGCCAACAACCTGTTCTCAAAATGAAAAAGAGAAACATGCTGTAAAAGAATAAAATTGATTTTCATGTAAGCATTCTTCCATTACCTTTAAAAGATATGGAGATCGATTATAGAGACCAGAATTTGTAGTTCATACACAGAATATGGTTAAAATAAACTATTGCTGTTTTTCTGTATTGTCTGATTCCTGCTTTCATCCTAAGCCACAAGGGAATTGAGACTTAAATAACAACATATCCTTATCCCTAACATTCACACACGTTTTTCAGCAATAATCATTATTTTAAGCCTATATTTTATACATTTTAATTGATTATACAGTATTATTAGCAGATCAATATAAAGTATTTTTTGATATATGGTTGTCATGCTTTATAACAATATTTAAGAAAATGATCATTCATTGTAACAAATGCAATCATAATGCCTTTTTAACATAGATATAGCTGCAATCAAACATGGCATCAGTATAAAACCAGAATCATTTTTGAACATAAAATTATATTACATGCATATAATCTTTGTATCACTGCTGCAGTGACATACTGACATGCATAAACATACAATAACTCACAAAAGAAATATAATTTGGGTTTCTGTGCTACAGTATATTACACTTAGCTTGCACATTACCCTTTAAAAATCATGTTGACAAGCAGGAAGACATCAGGAATAAGTATGTGACATAAATAATGCTGATAATAAAGAACAGCAACTGTTTAGATGTACTATAGACCTAATTTAGGAGGCAGAATTCTGTAAAACCACTGTAATACTTTGAAATAGTCTACTGATTATAGTACATCTACTGTAAGACGATGTTCTTTTTCAGCTGATACTGTAAAACCGCTTAAATTCAAATAATGCAAGTATTTTGGATATATATTTTAGAAAAACATGTAAGAACACTTGCATTTTAGTATCTGATTCCTCTAACTCAAGCCAAGTACACTTATTGACAATACTGTTATGCATATCAAAGTGATGCCACTTTTCAAATACACATCTCTGTATGATGCATACCATATTATCCAGTAAAATCCAGTCACTATACTATTTTGTTAGCTACAGGGAGCTAATAAAACTGTATTAGTAAAACAGCTTTCAGCAGAAGCCAGAAGACATACTTATGTATGCAATTTTAATTTCTTTACCTAGCATTAATGAACTGTTGTTTCACTTGGTAATTAGCCAAATAAAATAAGACTGTGAGCATCATGTGATCAAGTCATATTACAAGGTGCAAGCCAACAGTAAGCATTTGGACTCAAGAGTCAGTACAGCATTCAGTAGCAAGTAAACAATGGCTGAAACACTGGATTGATCAGTGGATTGCAAAATGCCTATTAAAAAAGAGAGAGACAGACAGACCGACAGAGAGTGAGAGAACCCATAACCTGATCCCCTGTTTTTATGAGGGACGATAAAGCAACATTAACGTGATATTAACTAAAAGTGAACTAAAAGTGATAATCCATTTTATTACAGGCCTGAATCAAGTTCAAACAAAGGTTTTATGATGCATATCATCTGGACTGATTTTATGTTGGTTTTTCTTTCCATCCAATCCAACATGTGTTGTACCTCACACATAAATTCAGGATCCAAATGTGGATCCAAAAGTAAATGCATGGATCTAGTTTTACATCAACCTCAATCAATGGTTTTATATTTAAACTACATTAAATATAATGTGAAAAAGATACTGTATCTGTAGTGACAAACCTACTGAGGATCTGCACCCAACTCAGCTCCCAACTCTCCGAGTTGTTTAAGCTTTTTTAGCTCATTAATCTTAATAAAAAGGGGATATAGTAGCCTATAAGAACTACAATACAGATGTCAGGGTAAGGTGTGCTAGTTTTTGGGTACCACATTAATCAGTCATCCAATCTATCCAATCAATCACAGACATGCTGGCAATCAAGCAGCTCACCGTCTAAGTTCTTCATTTTACTTGTGGGAAAGATTATGTGTGAGAGAGCGAAAAGAGAGACTGAAGCAAATTAAGTTTTACTTTCTAATCATAAACCAGCTAGAGCTTGCGCTCTACTTCTTGAGGAAACATTACATTACAATGTATAATGTCAACTGGTTGGCTCCTTCAAGTGTGTGACAGGTTGGTTTTCACAATAGCTGCCTATTCAAAACACAGCTCAGGGCTTGTTCCACTGGCTCCTCAATAATGCACCATTAAACTCTTCATTTTCTTATTTATCCTTCTCCTGAGGCTCAGGAAAATTAATGGGTCTTTAATTCAGCGCACTGCTTGGTTTGCTACTGTTTTTCTTATGTGTATAAAGTAGTAATGTCTGACAGAAATGGTTGAGGAGTAGCTAGGCAATTATTTTCTCCTACAGATGGTTTTGTACTGCAGATTGTTTAGTAATGATGCATTTACAAACCTCTGTAAATTCCTTTAAAGAGCTTCTTGATAGATAATAAAACTATCTGCTGTTTAATGTGCTGAACAGCAGTGGAACAACAGCCAATGTTAAAGCAGGTCAGACAGTTTGGAGCTGTAGCATTGAATGTGAATTAAAGCATATTCAGAAACTGTTGTTTTGGTGCTTTATATGAAAATATACACTGACAGGTGCATAACTAGTGTGTTCATAATTGTATCTTCCTGACTAATGCTAGATCACTCAGCGGAGAGTTGGATAAACAGGC